AAAATAAAAAAAAAATTTATTCTCAAACTTCGAAGCTTCGAGAATAAATTTATTTATTCTTTAATTTTCGCAATTGGATCGTTTCATTGATCATTATCTTTCCTTATTTACAAGTTTAATTATCAATTTGTAATATTTCAGGTTATAATAATACTTCTCGAATTTTTGGCACCCTAAACTTCGAAGCTTCGAATATTCGAAGCAAGTAAAAAAAGTGACGGCCCTAACATTAAATGCCTGTGGGCGTACAAAATTTTAATTCTTAATTTCAATTTCTTTTATAAAGAGAAATGTTCACTGTATCGTCGCGACCTATAACCTTAAAATCGATCGTGACATCAATGGAGTTGCATAACCATGCACGACGTACGTACACTTGATACATTTATTTAAAACGTGGCAATAAAGTTGTCCAAGGCCCACGCAGCAATTAACGTACATATTTCGACTTCGCTGCAACGAATATCGATACGACACGTTCGGTCGGCGTATCGTGGGAGTGACTGTCAATGGGCGTTGCTGAGTGCTGACGTCGCAAGTGTCGCGACGCAATCCATCTCACCTCAAGGCATTGTAAACACTAAACGCTGCATTTCGAAGAGAAGGGGAGAGAGAAAGAAGACAAAAGACGGAACTGCATTTATCAAGAATTTTTATATACTATTGTCAGGATCACCTCTAGGCAGGTAAGTAATATTCGGACGTCAGTAATATTCACGTCTCGTCGCACACACTCTTTTGAATCTCTTTCACGGATCCTCTGTTTCTAGGTTACAACTGACAGCTGGATTTATTTACTACTGTCCATTGTTAATTAATTTTACGCTTTTCATTGATATTATTGTCACTGGACGACACTGCGGACGAATGACCGATACTATGCGAAGTGTCGCGGGAGTAACGCCGTGCCTGGATAATTCGTCGGGAGATCACACGAGATCTCTATGCGTTCGTCGGTCTAGATAATTAAAATATAATTGTGATCTGAATTTATTAGGATTGGGTAAGTTAATATTTTTTTTTTAACTA